GCATTTAATAATTAAACCGTATAATAAGAATAATTTCTAATATAAATAACATTAATAAAATGATTAAATTTAAAAAATTTTTAGAAATATTGCTTTCTTACCAGTAAATTAGACACACAACATGCAACCTCATTCGGGTTTTGTTGATACACTCCCCAGCCAAGGCTGTCGATAGACTGGCTTCTGGCATTCTGAAGATAAGAAATCTGGTAATAGGTACACTGCCAAGTGTAAATATTGTCTATCTGAGCTTGATAGTAAACCTGATAAACTTCATCAGCATGTTACCAAGTGCAATAGCTGGTTAGTTAATGATAAAACTAGCTATCTTAAATAAGTCAATAAGCAAGCGATTCCCTCCCACAAGAGAGTTAAACATATCCAAGAAGTTACTATAATTGAAGAAAATGAAGAAAACCAAGAAAGCTCAATAGTAAAATCTGCAAAGCAAGAAAATATCTTGAATTGGTGTATCAGACCTATGCCCCATACTCAATCCGAAAAACTTTATCTAAAGCTCTTGTACACCATTATCTACGGCAATCTTCCTTTTAACTTTGTTGAAAACCCTTATTTTCAGGACTTTCTCCAAGACTTAGCTCCAAGTTATCAACCACCTTCTGAAAGTATGATATGAGGACGTATCTTGACAGAAATGTTTTCTAATTGTCTCCAAGACAAGCTGTCTGTCATGTCAACCTTCACTGACGCTACGATTTGCCTGGATGGCTGGACAGATACATCTGGAAACTCTATCTATGGATTTATGATTCTTAAAGAAGTTCAGAAACATATTATTGACATTATTGACTTAACTGCAAATAGACATAGAGCATTATTTATTAAAGATAAAACCAAAGAAACTCTTACCAAAAATGGATTCCAAATGATATCCGCTATCGCCTGCGTCACTGATAATCCTCCTGTAATGATGTCAATGAGAAATTTTTTAAAGGTATAGCAACAATCAAAAAAAAAATAAATAAAATAAAATAAAATTAAAATAAAAAAATAAAAACAAAAAATAAAAATAAAAATCAAAAACGAAATTAATTAATAAATAAAAACTAAATAATAAATAAATAAATAATCAATAGAATAATAAAAAATAAAAAGGACTAGTCGAGTTTCTTTTTTCACTTATGTATAAAAACTTTTCCAGTAATAATAAATAGATAGGCGTGCAAAAATTGGCAATTTTGGACAATATGCATAGCTAATAAAATATAATAATTTTAGAATTAAAAGGATACGGATAGTTCTGACTTAAAATTGGGGGTTTTTTTTTTGCTTCGCTTTTCTATTTTAGTTTTGCATTATTATATGATTTATTATTAATATTATTGAAAAGCATATTAAAGTAATTTAAAATGTATACTTATAGGCAGAGCTTCCAAATATTATACCGATAAGATGTTGCCTGCACGCATTCAACCTAATCGTGAAGAATATTGTTGGATTTACTAGCACCATCCCTATCTGTAAAAAAAATTAAAAACTTGTGAATTTCTTCACTGCCTCACATATATGGCTTCACACATTACGAAATTGGCAGAAGGAACAAGGCATACCTCACTTTTTAAGTACTTTTTGTGAAACAAAATGGTATTTTATTTCTAAGGTTTGCTTAGGCGTATCTGCTTTTGAGAGAGGTTTTCTGCATTGTCTTAGGTTAAGTGAAACTGATAAAACAAAGTACCCTAAAATCAAGGATAACATTAAAGCTATTATTGATGATAGATACCATTTTGCCAGTAATGATATGCTAATGAAGGTAATAAAACCTGTTGTTGATGCAATTGGAAGGCTAGAGTCAAGAGAAGAGACCCTGGCCGATGTTTTTAAGGAATTGATCTATGTGCATTCAGAAATATCTAACCTTGACATCCCTATTGTTGGCTTAAAAGCTCATGCACTTGCCGTCATTAGCAATAGAGCAAGAGAATTCAGTGATGATATTTACTTTGTTGCCTTGTTTCTTTCTCCTACTCACAAAAAAATAGCTATTTCTAGGTATATGAATGAGGAATGTATTAAATGCGGATGTTTGGAATTAGCCAAAGCTTGGAAATTCACCAAAAATGATGCTAGCCTTCTCTACAAGGAATTAGATTCCTATATAAATAATGAATTACTTTTCGATTTTCTTTTTAGAAGCTCTCAAAAGCCTCCCCGGACAATTTGGAAAGATTTTGCCAATAAATCCTCTATCCTTCGTCGCTTTGCTTTAAAAGTTCTTATGATTGTTCCTCACAGTGCCGCATGCAAACGAATTTTTTCTTCCCTAGATCTTACAAAGACAAAGTCAAGGAACTGACTTTCTCCTGGCACACTCTCCAGACTTGGACAAATTAAAAATGAGCTTCAAAAAGTCATTCTAAAAAAAAAAAAGATTAGGCAAAAAAAGCTATCACTACCTGAACCTCTGAAAAAAACAATAGCGATGTGGACGAAGATAATGATGAAACAGAAGAACCAGATAAAATCGAGGAGGATATTGATTTTGTTGATGCTGAATATAAAGAAACATCTGTAATGGATGAATTTTTTGATTTTGCTGTTTTTGAAAGAGATCAGATAGCTTTTTCGCTTGAAGAGGCCCATAATTATTCTGTGCTTCAAAGTTTGGATTGCGAAGAAGGCTGGTCTATTGAAAATATTATTTCTTAGACAAATAGTAAATAATTAAAACTATATACTTAGCGAAGTATGCATTTATATTGATATAACTTATCTTAAAATTAATCTACTTCAGTACGTTGGAAAAAATATAAAATGTCCAAGCCTACTTTATATATTATCGCAAAGTAATATTTATTAAAGATTAAAATTATATATATTCATCACTTTGTACTGTTTTTTAAATAAATATAACTATTTTTCTGAGATCGGCTTTCTAAAATATGCAAATAAATATAATAACAGTTAAGATCAAAAAACAAGCTTATAACAATTAAAAAAATTTACATGTGTCTAACGTTATTGTAGTAATGCAGTTGTACACAAATGAAAAATGTGAACCATTTTCTATTTAATATCGTTTGTCGAACTTGCGATATAGAATTTGATTGGTTGATTGTCATGTGATCGCGCATGATCTAGATAGGGCATGCCCCATAGGCATACTGGGCATGCCGCGATCCAAGGCATGCCCATAAAGGCATGCCGATTTTTTACCCGTGCCTCAAACCCTAATTTTAACCCTCTTTTAGAAAACTTACGCAAACGAGATAGAGTCATAAGATTATCTTGTCATACGTACGGACATATTTCTTTAATTGTATGTTACACAACTATAAATTCATATGCATTATGTTTATTGAATATTACTCGATGATCATCACATGACCACCAACCGAGCACAGATTATAATTTCGCTCTATAGCGATAGATGGGTGTTTTTTTTTTGATGATGATCATGTTACACGATATTCGGAATCTTTCGTGTGTGACATGATGAGGCCTGGGGTCCCGGGTCACGTGGATTTCACGATCATCCGATTTCACCATCATCCGCGACAATAAATTATAAAAATTAAATTTTATGATTTTAAAACAGGTTAATCATATCGGCGGATTTGTGAAATTTGATAAATAGAACCAAGTGTTATCATATAATAGGTGGTTACATTTTTACTTTTAAGATTAAATGCTTATATTTGCTAAAATTTTACCTTTTTTTAAAATTTAAACATTTTTCTAATAAATCAATTCACATACAAGTTTATTTGTAATAATATTCTGGCCCATTGGAGATTAGCGGAAACTTTATTTCCGCTTATTCACATATGGATCAGGATATTATTCATTAATCCCCCGTGATCTTGGCATAGTGATCGGGGGATTATACAGAAAATTGTTTCAGACAGATTATTAGAATTAGGGTAGGCTATAGTTTATGTACGTGTCAGCGGTGATGTTTACTGTCAATCATTTCACCGACAGCCATTACATACGTTAGTGATTAGTTGCAGGTGTATACAATATTTTTAGTAAATAGTCGCACTTGGTATGATGTCGGCGAAATCTATATAGAAAATCTGTCAATGAAATAAACCGCCTATAATGAACTTGTATGTGAATCAATCATTTGTAAAATAAAATTGTAAATTAAATTGTCTATGACCTAAGATGCCTGTGAAAAAATTTTCGGTGAAATGGTACAGTACGTTTATTTTTTTCGATCGATTAAGACTTCCAGTAACACGAGAATTTATTTAACTATACGTATATCGATCTTGATATATCGACCTGGATATACCGACACGCAAATCTTAATAACGATAAAAGAATTAAGTAAGCGCCAAAACGCACCTTTGCGCAAATAAATTTTTATTTGAATCATTCTATGATGTGAAAAAACAAAAATACCAACTACGTTACGTCACGGTAAATATTTACTAAAGAATTATATCTAACAGAAAGTTTTTTTTTGTTTTTGTTTTTTTTTTTTTGATAAAGTCCTTCAGAATTAAAATTCTATAAAAAAAAACCGAAAAAAAAAAAATCTAAATGAACTAAAAAAAAAAAAAAAGTAGATAGATACGAGATACGAAAGAATATAACTAGAAACACTAGAAACACTCTCTGTATCGTAAAGTGGGATCAGCGGGGGTAGTAGTATGTTCAGAGATCGAAGGACGAGAACTTGTATTAGCAGAAGTAGTATCACAATAATAATGAAAAGCATCAATTTGATCTTGAGTTAAAGAAGAAGGAGGTAAAGTATTTGGAGAAGCAGGAGGAGGTAATTGTATAGTCATAATTCCAGAGATACCATTAGTTAAAGTAGAATTATCATGAGGAAGAGTAATATCCAAAGCAGAAATATCAGTAGTATTATTTAAAATACTAGTAGTAGATTTTCTTGATCTTCTTGGATTAGATTTAGTATGAGTTTTATAATGAGCGGCAAAATTATCAGATCTTCCAAATTTTTTACCGCAACCAGGATAATGACAGGTATATTTACGTTCACCAGTATGAGTAATCATATGACGTTTTAAATGTTCTAAACGTTTAAAACTCCAAGTACAACCAGGCCAATCACATTTATGCCTGTTACGCGAGACAGAAGAGGAAGATGGAGGGGAATTAAGATTTGAAGAGAGATTAGGGGAATTTACAGGATAAGAAATTCGAGGAGTGATAGAATCCGAAAAATGGGAGGAAGAAGAAGAGGAAGAAAAGGCTATATGATTATTATTATTATTAGAAAATGGTACCATATACATATGATTTTGATTATTTAATGAAGTAGAAGGAAGAAGATGATGAGGGTTTGGGGCATGTAAAGAGAAGATTGGCATCATCCAATTATTAATGATTGGTTGAGTAGGATCTCGTGATTGTAGCGGAGGATAAAATTGATAGGTTCTACGAAATCGAGATGGATCAATTGGAGTTGTAGATGATGAGCTCACTTGATTTGGAGTTGGAGCAATTAATCGTGGTTTAGATTCTGATAAAGATTAGATTGAAATTTTAGATTTAGATAAGTAATATGCTTTTTTTTTGATATTTTGATGTGTTTTGATGCGTTTTATGAGTTTGAAGTGTTTTATGAATTTTATGAGCGAATAAATTATATTAACCGATTGAGGATAATAATCGAGAAGAAATACAATTATTAAGCTTCTTACCCATTATTAAATTCTCCAAATATAGCTAGAATATAACTAGAAATATGACTAAAATATGACTAGAATATAACAAGAATAATCGATGAAATATAGTTAAAAAAAAAAAATAGTTAAAAAGATATTGATATAGTTTTTAGGAAAAATCACGAGGATTTCTTGTTTCCTTACCTTGGCTAGTAAAAAAATATAAGAAACGCGACGAAGAGATATAAGTGATACAACAGAAGATATAGATCGTCACGGAAAAATAAAGGAGGAAATCCTTCACTACACGAAACCAACAATGAAGGGGGATATACGAAGGATTAACACGGGCAAGGGGTTTTGTCACATCTATTTTCTTGAAAAAACCAAAGGTAAAAAAAAAAAAAAAAAAACGAAACTAACCTAAAACACAGCGGAAAAAATATTTCACGGATTATTATATAAAATTATTTTTCTTGTGGTAGAAACAAAAAGCAATAATAGTGATTATAGGAATGAAAGTTGAAACACAAGAAAAAAAAGTAGCACAAGAGAAGATAAACGAAGAAGAAGAATATAAGGAAAGATCACTGAATAAAGGAGAAAAGCTAAAGGAGAAGTGGGAGGAGTAAAAATAATGTGAGGGAACACAGAGATCTAATCTCTATTTAAATTGAATTCTCGAAGCATTTTTACAAAAAAAAAAAATTCACAGACTCAATAGATATTCTTATTGATTGGTTTAATTAGTAACGAATGTGCGAATATACAGTACAAGAGCCGAGTCTTTTTGATAAAATGTTTCATGCTTATTTTAAGTGATCAATTTGGTGATTCTTTTGTGTGTTGTGCACCGGTTTTACAAATGAAACAATTTAACAATGGAGAAGTTCCGTGATCTAATTGTAAAATCTAATTGTATTCAATCTAATTTGCAAATTCTAATTTGTTTGTTATCGATTAAACTCTGATCTCAATTATCTCAATTTATTATTTCTTTATTATCTCAATTATCCCAATTAGTAGTATCATGAGTGAAAATCATAATTAGTTGAATAAAGGGTCTTTAATTGTACTAGAATTATAAAATTAAAATGAAGGCGGAAATTGAATAATGAGTAGGATCTGGTATGGATCATACCGAGAAAGGGGTGAGAACAAAGTATGTTAATATGCGAACCTTGTCATTATAACTTTGTACGAGTGTAATAAGAGAAATTTTTTAAATTGATTCTTGGCTAAATCGAGTAAGAATTTTTTTTGACGTATGACGTTTTAAACTTGTGAAATTCATTTTATCCAATCAATGAATTCATAATCTTTATTCTTGCCTTTTCTTATATAATAATTCAAAAAAAGAACCTCATTTAATTTTTTAGTATAAAAAAAATACCAAAAATAACCATCTATATTTAACATAACATTTTTGAACTGAATTTTTTAAATTACTTTCATCATTCAATCATTCGCGTGTTATATATATATATATTTCTTCATTTATCATTACTACTTATGACAAACCATTTAATTCTGGCATTTATTATAAGAATTTGATTACTTTTGCCATTTATGCGATTTTATATTTAAGTCTGTTCATTATCATTATGCATTCCTCCCCTATCATCTGGGATTTACTAATTTTGCTTCTTTGCTGTATTTCCGATTGGTCGCATTATGATGATGTATCCACTTGACAAACCTCCGCGACCAATAACATACTGATAACTAGTATTTCTGTATTTATATTTATTGTATTAGCTGTCAAGTTGAATATAACTTGTTCGTTTTCGTTCATGTACTTCTGCGCTTAATAACTTGATATAACTTGATACCACATTGGCACGTACATACGTATGTGGGAAGCTACAGTATGTGGGATTATGTGGGATACACTGATCTCCATTAATCACGTGGGTACTATCATTCTACGTACAGTACTGGTATTGTTTTGTTAATTGCATTCATTTATTTCAGTATTTCATTAAATAAAATTTTGCATTTAGTATATTCAGGCAGTACTCGCTGTATAGTTTGATTTCTGGTTTTACATCATTCTTGACCAATTTTGTATATTGTCATATACTCCTACTATATATATAAATATCTACGAAAAAAAATTCGTTATCCGTTATATACTGTATATATATATTATACACTTATCAGTTATACAGTATTTATCGTTATGTAAATTCAGTACTTGTAGACGCATAGCGATTATCAATATGTGTTAAACAGATCTAAAATCCTGTTCTAATCCAGAAATCTAGTTAATCAATGGTGTATATTTAAGTATATATACACTTATATATATGTATTTGATTTGTTTTTATCGACACACGTCATTCCAAATTTTTACACGTATAAAAAATTTATGAATTGTAACTTGTCTCTTTTTTTTATTTTTGCCTTCTTTTAATGTTGATAAAAAAATGGATCAAAATTATGAAGATTGGGACGATAGTAATAGTGTTACTTCATATTATGGTAAATAAAAAAAAATTTTTTTTTATTTTGTCTACTCTTTTTTTTTTTTTTTTTTATAGATCTTGTCTTACTAACTTAATCAAAATTTTTTATCAACTTTTAAAAATTTTATCCATTTGTGCGAATGTTCTTTTTTTTTAAAAAAAAAAGTAACCCCACCTACATCTCCAATTATACAACCTGTTAATAATGCAGATGAGACAAAGAATTTTTTTCGAAACAATGCAAATATCAATTTGTCTTCTTCATTATCAGATTTAATGGCTGAACAAATATCGTTATGGTGTGATTCTTCTTCTACTTCACAGCAACCGAATCAGCTGAATAAAGACAATGATATTTTGATTTCTTTAAATGATGATGATTATTCAACGACGAATGTGAATGATGATAAATTGATTTTTGACAATAGAATTAACAATAATAAGACTAATAATATTGGTGATAGTATTGACGATATTATTAAGGGTGTGATTATTGATGATACAGTTTCCCATCAAGATGAAGTTCGTCGTAATATAGGTTCGGCGTATACCCAGCCTACAAATTTGAAAAATTTACCAACTATTTCTATAATATCTTCAACTTCTCTTGAATATCTTACTTCTTTAAATACTTCTAAACCTACTTCTACTTCTTCTGAAACCCTATCTTCTTCTTCCTCTTCTTCAACTATTACAACTTCCATACAACCTCAGATAGTATCAAAAGTTGATATTTCTCAATGTCATTTTACTTATATGAACGATTCTCATCAAACTATCATAAATGCCAGCTATCAAGGTGATTTGGCATTTTTGTATAAAGTTGGTGGTGATTTGAATCTAAATGGTGGCGGTGAAATTTCTTGTTGTCTCAATGGGATGTCTGATGAAATTTCTATCCCATTTGATCAATTATGTGGATTTAAGATTTCTACTGAAAAAAAAATTTTTATAAAATTTAAGCCGAATTTTAAAAGAACAGTATGTTAAAGTTTTATTTCTAATAATAATAATAATAATAATAATAATATAAATAATAATAATATTATTATTATTATTATTTGATTCTTATCTTTATTAATCTTTTTTAATATTTACATTTATATTTATATTTATATTTAGTATCGTCATCATCTTGGTGGTTACCCGTATCTTTTAGATTCTACAATTTTGCATGCTGATCCATCAGGAGGAAAATTTAATTTTTTACGTTCTCTCACGTTGATTCCTTATACTTTTTAAAATTCCTCAAAATTGGCCAATATTGAGTCTGAAATTGAAAAGTTATGCTTTAAGAAAAATGGCATTCGTAATGAGTTCACTAAAGAAAACAGGCAAAAAGTATTTATTCTACTTTACATATATTTTGTTTTTTATCTACTACTTTTTTTCTCATAAAAATTCCTCTTTTCTAATTTTAAAATTTTAAAATTTAAAGTTATACTTAACATGTGTATTCCCTACCGAACGTCGTGCTCTCGCTGTTCCAATGGATTCTTCATATAACAAATTATTATTGCTACTTGAATCAAGATTTAATCTTACAATTGATAGTATTAATCTTAGATTTAGGAATAAACGTGGGGATGTTGTTGTAGTAAAAAGTGATGATTGTTGGGAAATGGCAAAAAGTGAAGCTTATGGAAAAAATTTGGCTAGATTAGAACTTCAAATTTGGTAATGTATATATGTTTTTAGTTACATAATTATAGCTTATAAATTTCCATTTTTCGTTCACTTGGCTGTGCACATGGTTGTTGAATAAAATCTTGTATAAATTTAAATAGCTTTAAATAGCTTTAAGTAGCATAAGTAGCTTAAAAAATATCTTAAAAATATCTTAATAACCAGTTATTTATTTTATTAAAAAAAAAAAAAAAGATCTTGCAAATTTAAAATAAATTAAAAATTTCTAATTAATAATATTTTACGCGGCTTAAGCTGAAAATCGGGTCCCTGTTTAAAATACGAACCCTGCTAAAATCCATTTATACTCTTATTAAAACTCTAACACACAATATTATCTAAAAAGTTAACAAAACGCACCCTAAAAAATAAGTATGTCTTTTATTCTAATTAAAACAAAATGTTTTTACGTATAACTTTTTACTGTATTACAAAATATATATCTCTAAAACAGTCCCACTATAATAAAATCAATAACAACTCCGTTTTTAAACGATATATACTTCCAATCATATATGTGATTAAAATGAACTGCGATATACTGTAGCTTGATCACTGTAAGATGGATTAAGGGATAATACAAAGGTATCATACGATATTAAATTTGATTTACTTACCATAAAATCCTGAGATAACGGGCATGAGCGTTATTTCTTGTAAAAGAGATAATATATTTAATTTTTTAAAATAACGCCAGTGGGCGTCTCGGAATAACACGTACTTTATCTAATATATTTTATATCTGCTGATTTATATATAGTAAACAAAATAATGTTCAAAAAAAAAAAAAAAACTTATTGGGCGTACTTCAAATATTGCACAGTAATTAAAAAATATGTGCAGAAATTTTACAGTATTTATATTTTATTATACTGTATTTGAAATTTTTTTATAAAAGTTTTTAATAAAATATATATAAAAAATTATAATAAACATAAATTCTATTAAATATATAATGATAATCTATCGCTATAGCCTCATCACATTATCATATTAAACATTGCTAATTAAAAATTAAAAATACAGTATATAATAATTTATAAAAAAATTATTATTTGCTTCACTACGAAGAAATTTAATAAATTTAATTAATGCATTTAAAAATAAAAATTCTAAATATTCTCTATTATATTTTGATTTTGATATTATCTTAATAGAACTAGTAATTTATTTGGTAACAAAAAAAAAAAAAATTTAAATATTATTTTGTTAAACTAACTACTAGCTTTATTATATTTAGATATTTTTTGTTAGATGCGTCTTATGAAGAGCCTTTATTTTCAAAAAAAGTTTATCCAAATTAGACTAAAGATGCTAAAATAATTGCAGAAACTGTTTTTTTTACTTTTTAAGCTAAAATGCAAACCATATAATATAAACTTTGTATTATATATCTAGATTTCTAATTTAATATATACTATATATAGTATAATTTACTATTTATAATTTATTGTATTTTAAATAGTTAATTAGTATTTTTTAAAGATTTTTAACTATTTATAATTATTAATTATATTTTTTTAATTATAATAGTAAATTAGTATTTTTAAAATATTTTACCTAATATATTAAAAATTTTTTTTTTTGTGTTAAGGTGAGGCCTTGCAAAATTTTTTTTATATTTTTATTTTTTAATATTATTTGTAATTTTTTTTCTAAATTAAAAAGTTATTATTATGGCAAAAATTTTATTAATATATATAATATATAGCCTTTATAGATTTTGACTATGTATTTAGTGTAATATGTCTATATGGGGGTGCCAGTAGAAACTATAGATGCTGGTAAAATTAATTTCACCAATTTCACCAATAGTGGTGAAATTATTTCACCACATTTCACCATATTTCACCAGCATTTATAGTAGAAACCAAGCAAATTGTCTCTAAGTAAATTTTTTTAAAACTTTAAAATAAAATATCTCAACAACTATTAAACCAAACTTGATAAAAACTTTTTTATTTTAAATTTATGCAGTCATAAAATTAAAATAAAAATTTTTTATCAAGTTTAGTTTAATAGTTGTTGAGATGTTTTGATTTAAAATTTTAAAAAAACTCACTAAAAACAATTTGCTTGGTATCCCCCTATATGTTACTCCCAACTATGTGTCACTAACTACAGGAGGTGAACAATTTTTTGTAGGAGAGCAAGGACGTACATACGTACGTACGAGTAAACGTGAGTAAAAGTGAATCTGGAATGCAGTCTGTGTACCCAATCACATTAGATCAAAAATAGCTATAATGAAAAATAAAGTACATAATCAAATAATAAATTCTTAAAGAATATTAAGGTTTTACTAATTAATTTTTTGGGTGAAATGTAATAGGAAGAGAACTAGGTCTTGTATGTATATGACCTTTTACAGTAATATTTTATTAATATTCACATTAATTTTTCGATTCGGACATTTATTAGATCCTAATCTCCTAGTATATATATAATAATAATAATATATACAGTATATATATAGATAGACTAAAGTCAATTTTTTGTGACCGACTACTATCAACTAGTCGACTTTAGTTGATTATTATATCGATTAACCAAAGTTTATTTTTTTTTAGAGATCTACTACTACTATAGCATGTGATCCATACCTAATAGTTCATGTAGAATAAAGATTACTATATCAAGGAGTTTTAAGTTTTAAGTTTAAAATCGCTGGCTATAAGAATGTAATCGAATGGATTAAATTTGGTAAAATAATCAGGGTGGGAGGCTTTTGACACAACATTTTCAACAACCTGATTAGATGCTATACGAAAAACTGATTATCCGATACAAAACCGCTTAATTTTTTGAAAAAAGTAAGTTGAAAATAGTTGTTTTATAAAAAATTTATTTATTAATTATCGAACTGATATAAATTTGTTATATAAATTATTTATGTGCAGTGTAGTTTAATTGGTAGTATATATTTCTATACTAATGAAGGAAATTTTTAGAATTAAATTACGTGGGAAAGAAAATTTAAATAACTTATGTATATATTATTTGATTTAACACGAATTCACAAAGTAGGATATATCATACAAATTTTCATAGTAGCAATATTTTACAAAATTGAGAAAAGGTAATATTGTATGTCTTAGATATAGGATTATCAAGAATATTATTACAGGGGAAATAATTATGGAGTTATGCTTTATGTTGCTCCAGAAATGCTGTTCGGTCAATAATCTACACAAGCAGCTGACATCTAAGGTTTTGGGCAGTGTAATGACTGAAATATCAACTAGAAGAGAACCTTTTTTTACACGAAAATAATAATATTTCCAAAGATTCCCTGTTGAATACTAATTGTCTAGTATAAAAATATCCATTATTATATTAGGTCTTTCGGTTTGTTAGCCAATCAATAAAAACTAGGTTTTTTGGCTATACTCTCATAAATTTTGAATGAGTGAGTCTTAGTAAAGCCTATTTTCGTATTCTATAGATTAATAGGGTTCGAAAATAGTTAAAGTTAACCAGATAGTTATTGAGATACCTCCGTTCAAAGTTCAAAAAACAGTTAATATTATTTCAAAATTCCTGATCCTTGTGTTGTGTGATGCATGAATTCGCTGATCAATTGAACCTATGTACAGTACGTACGTACGTACGTACTGGGCTATAGTAAAGCATCCGGTGTACATGTTATTTGAAAATCTGCCGATGATTATCAATGACCAATTTTAGAAAAA